CGAACTGGTACAACGTCTCACCCTCGGAAGCCAGGTGTCTTCTATTCATCATGAACAGATCCACTCGTCCACTCTGTTTGACTGCAGGCAAATTTGGCACTTTCTCTATGCAAATGTTCAGTAGCGTATGTACCTCGATCAAAACTGCGTGTTTTTATGTGCGCGTTTCAGGAGAAATTTTTGTAAGTGCGAAATTACGCACAGTGCACGTGATACGAGAAAAAAAAAATCTACAATGTATTCAGAGTACACTGCTTTTATATAACGTTTGATATAAGATTAAGACAAGATTTTCTACCGAAAAAAATTTATCTTTTTTTTTATTGTACACCCAGAAATATTTTTCGTAGCTTCATTGCTTTGAAAACCACACGATCCGCAGCAATCTTATTTAAATCTCGTTTCAGATTCTGAAAACAGCGATGGGTTATCTCTCGGTGTTACTGACAGTTACAAGTAACGATTAAGTCCCTCTGTTCGTAATCTACATAGAAATCTTTATTTTAAGATAAATATCCTGTGCAGCTGTACAATGTTGTTCGTTTAAAGATATTGTTTAAGATATTGTTTAAAGATATTTCAACGGAACGTTATCGCAGACAAAGCATAATACGATGTCGTTACTGCTGAGTGTATTAAACGTTTTTCACAAATTTCCGTCTCTTCTTTCTCGATTCTTTATCGAACTTCATCGAATATTTTTTTAGACAAAAAGATACAAAACAAAAAGATAATTCGAAATTGGCAAATTTTTCGAGTTTCAACTCGAAGTTTCTGTTGATAATTCCGAGATAAAATAATTATTATCGAAGATAAAGATCGTAATATGTTTATTCCTGTATACATGATAATACAAGATATGACACGCTGAGATAAATATTTTAATATCTGTTCGGAGATTCGTATTACGATTCACGTAGTCCCATAAAAAATATTAAAATAACATTCAAAAAAATTAAATCTATTGGATGATGCAAAGAATTGTACGAGTATATGAAACATTTTGATAAAACGATTAAAAAATTGAAATATCTATAACACTCACGTGTTTTGGAAATACCACTTCTGTCAGAGATTCTTCTTATACTAACATCGCTTCCAATTGGAACACTTTAAGTCACTGAAAGATGAAAAACACGAATTAGACAATTGTATTTTTTGTTTCAGAAAATTATAAAAAAGGTGTAGTATTAAAAAAAAATCTACAAATAAAATTGAAGTACATGCAACGCATAGTGAAAGACATCTCCAATTTGTAAACTTCGCGAGGAGGAGAAATGAAATTTCCAATTATTTTTACTTTATATCTTACATTTTAATTTTGTCAAAAATCAATCCAAAACCAACAACATAAATATAATTTAATTAATTTTATATATCTTACATTTTACAAGAAGAAAGAAATTTCTTTAACACTAATTTTTAGTACAGTTATTGGATGGTTCTCGATGAAATGAAACTTATTTTACTGGTATAATTTCACGAGAGGAAGGAAATATGAACTAACACTGGTATCGTCGAGAACAATGTCCCGTGTTTCCCCCTTTATTTCCGTATTATTACGTATGCACGAGGTTATGAATTATTGCAGAGAGATACTTGTAGCAACTAAAGTGAAATTCGAGAACTAGTTGAAAACAACACCGAACTACCTATTGACGAATAATTGATACGACAATGCGCATTCCGAGTAGATGAAGGGAGCATGCGCTGAGGAAAACGTCGTACGTGAGAACAGGTGATTCAGTTATTGGAAGAGAAGCTTCAATGGACATTCAGCAAGGTAACCTTTGTATACTTATTAATAAATATTTCTAAAAAAAAGAAAACTTTTATTTTTTTCGCCTCAATCATTAAAAGTAAATAAATAAATAAATATGTATAAGGAATAGAAAAAGATATAAGAAATATAAAAACTCCTGTATCCAGTTCCCGCAGCTCATAATTTTTTCAAAATACTTTTGAAATATTTTGTAACAGACTTGAAGTACCTGTACGGTTGGAACTATTATGTGATGAAGACTGTGGGCATTTGGCCGGAAGAGAGGAAATGGAACCGACCTTCGAGTTACATCGTCCTGATACCGTTTCTCACGATGCTGTGTTTTGTATGTGTTCCGCAAACTATTAATCTAGCGTTCATCATAAAAGATCTGGATTTAGTGGTCGAGAATTTATCGATGGGCAACGTGACCGTCACGATTTGCATTGTGAAAACCGTAGCTGTTTGGCTCAATGGCAAACGTAAGTATTACGTAATTGAATCGTAGAAAGTATGTTCGATTTTAGTCAAATCTTATTTCAACTACCAGTTAATATAAAAATTGAAAAATTTACAAATATTGTAATTACTCACTTATCATGTTCTCTCCGTACGACCATATACACTGGTTGCGAAAACAATTGCAATAAAAGAACAAAATCGTATGACATTCTAAAAATCATTCACAAAAAATTCTTTTTACTTTCCGACCAAATTTTAGTAACCAAAGGAAACATATCTACGTAATTTTCAGATTTCTAACTGTTTCTTGCAATTTCTTGGCAATCAGTGTAATCAACAAACTAAAAATAGCAAAGAAAAAAAATTTTTACAACACGCAACGAACGTTGCAAGACGTATTCTATCCGCAACATTCTCTTCTTCCAAGCATTGAAGTCTCTGATCAATTATATGATCAACGACTGGGGCACAGTGGAGACGAAAACCGAACGAGAAACAATGGTGAACGTCGCGAGGGTTCACCAGAAAGACTATGATAAGATGCACAATGATGTGCCAAGTCGTACTCGTCGCTTATGTTTTCGTACGACTCTGTTCTATGAAATACAGCGATACCAAACTGCTCTTCCGTGCCTATTTCCCTTATGATATTACCATCAGCCCAAATTACGAATTGACGATGATCGGTCAACTCATGGCTG